CCGGTGCAGATGGAACCCTGACATTTGATTATAATATCTTTCATTATACCGATATCAACATATTATATCCTCCCAGGTGCAGCTGAAGAAGAGCCTCTCCTCCAGCCTCATGCAGAGTAACTCATATATCCACATGTTACCTCCAGGTGCAGCTGAAGAAGAGCCTCTCCTCCAGCCTCATGCAGGAGTAACTCATATATCCACATGTTACCTCCAGGTGCAGCTGAAGAAGAGCCTCTCCTCCAGCCTCATGCAGAGTAACTCATATATCCTCATGTTACCTCCAGGTGCAGCTGAAGAAGAGCCTCTCCTCCAGCCTCATGCAGAGGTAACTCATATATCCACATGTTACCTCCAGGTTGCAGCTGAAGAAGAGCCTCTCCTCCAGCCTCATGCAGAGTAACTCATATATCTACATGTTACCTCCAGGTGCAGCTGAAGAAGAGCCTCTCCTCCAGCCTCATGCAGAGTAACGTCATATATCCTCATGTTACCTCCAGGTGCAGCTGAAGAAGAGCCTCTCCTCCAGCCTCATGCAGAGTAACTCATATATCCACATGTTACCTCCAGGTGCAGCTGAAGAAGAGCCTCTCCTCCAGCCTCATGCAGAGTAACTCATATATCCACATGTTACCTCCAGGTGCAGCTGAAGAAGAGCCTCTCCTCCAGCCTCATGCAGAGTAACTCATATATCCACATGTTACCTCCAGGTGCAGCTGAAGAAGTGCATCTCCTCCAGCCTCATGCAGGCGTACCAGGCGTGCAAAGCGATCCTCATCAAGCTGCTCTCGCGCCCGAAGGCCCTCAGCCCGTACCACCTGCGCAGCGTGATGCTCTGGGCGTAGCGACCGCCCTGCCCGCCTCCTCCTCCTCCAGGAGCACTTCTTCCGCTGCTTCATGCTGGGCCTCATCGACGACCTGCAGCACTGCCTGCTCAACAAGATGTGCCCCACACTACTACTTCATCCCACAATGCAACATGCTGGGAGACGCTGTCCGACGAGGGGCGGCCATGCTGCACGCCAGAAAGGTAACGTTCAAGGTCCCCTATATGCTGTTTTTATTACTTTATTACAGGTGCTCAGATAATCATACAGAACAGTGGGCAAACAGGAGTTAATGAGCTGCAGACTGACTGAGGGTAGTTTAGCTCTGAGCGCAGGGTTAGTGAAAAGAGTCCAGGAAACTTATTTAAAAGTTAACAGCATTTAATTAAACAATTGATACGATGAAATGTGCAAGGGATATCTGCTTCCCCCCTTGGTCGGCTGTTCGTCACGTGGGTCGGCCTGTTCCGGATCACGTGGGGTCGGCTGTTACGGTCACGTGGGGTCGGCTGTTCCGGTCACGTGGGGTCGGCCTGTTCCGGTCACGTGGGTCGGCTGTTCCCGGTCACGTGGGGGTCGGCGTGTTCCCGGTCAAGGGGGTCGGCTGGTTCCCGGTCACGTGGGGTCGGCTGTTCCGGTCACGTGGGGTCGGCTGTTCCGGTCACGTGGGGTCGGCGTTGTTTCCGGTCACGTTGGGGTCGGCTGTTCCGGTACTGTGGGGGCGGCTGTTTCCGGGCACGTGGGGTCGGCTGTTCGGTGTCACGGGGTCGGTCTGTTCCCGGTCACGTGGGGTCGGCTGTTCAGGTCACGCGGGGTCGGCTGTTCCGTTCACGCGGGGGGCGGTGTTCCGGGTCCGCGGGGTCGGCTTGTTCCCGGTCAGCGCGGGGTCGGCTGTTCCGGTCACGCGGGGTCGGCTGTTCCGGTCACGTGGGGTCGGCTGTTCCGTCACGTGGGGTCGGGCTGTTCCGGTCACGTGGGGTCGGCAGTTCCGGTCACGTGGGGTCGGCTGTTCGGGTCCGTGGGGTCGGCTGACCGGCTGTTCCGGTCACGTGGGGTCAGCTGCGGTGAAAGAGGTCGATTTTCAACTGGCTTCACGTGTTATCAACTGTAGTCTTCTCCTATTGGCCGGCGTCGACGGGGGCGGGTCCAAGGCACATCCTGTTGTTTTCTGATGTTAGTTTTACAATCTTCTAATATCTGTTGGTTTAAACATTCCCTAAGAATAATATTGCAGCGTGAATAAGTGAGGGTTAAAGACAGTCTGTTTAGTGTGCAACACCACGTGTCATTTCTCCTTCAATTCACTTTCACAAAATGTAATATTAGCCACATGCTAATGCTAAATTGAAGCTAACAATATTTACTCGCAAAACCGGAAGTCGAGTGTGAACATCCGGTTTCAGAATAAAGCAGCTTTAAATTAAAACGGTGTATTTAATTTAAATTACGCCATATAAATATTGATTTTATTTCTTACACTGGTTTGTTAGACACAGATTGGTTGATCAGAGCTATTCTAACATTGTCTCAATATCTTCTTCTGACTTTTCTCTTTCTGATTTGAAACTGTGTGAACATCAGTACGGAGGCCGGCAGGAGCAAACGTGCTCAATCACTTTCTTTAGTGGAATTACGCTGCAGATTCAGAAACAATGCAAGAGTTTTCTACAAGCTTTCCATCCGTTTTTAAAGTCTAATAGAGGTCTTAATGTCCAACATTCATCAGATTCAGCCGACAGAGAGAACAGATATGGACCCTTTCTGGTTAAACCTGACATTTTCTATCGTGAAAAAGTCAGAAATGGACTCAGCATCCTCAATAACCCATAAAAACACTACAAAACTGTCCAAATCTGCCCAGACAGGTCTCAGATATAAACATGTCACCAAACAGATCATTGCTGCATCCCAAAACATCCGCTGCACCTGGGAGCAGACGCCATCCATTCATCTTAATATCACTAAAATTACCTTGGTTGCTGATTGGCTAATGGGTACACAAGACCAAAACATCGTTATGACATCATAAAGTGGCCAAATCTGATCAGCTCATTTTCAGACAGGTTTTTTACACTTTGGCTCGACCAAAAATCGTTTATAAATGTGCTATATAAATAAAACTTGATTTGATTTGATTTGATTAATAGAAATGGATCAGGACAAAAAGAGAGAGAATCTCTTTCCACAGAGGGGACACATGTTGATGAAGAAGAGACATGAAGAAGAGGGGACACAGTTGATGTAGAAGAGACAGAGACATGAAAAGAGGGGACACATGTTGATGAAGAAGAGACATGAAGAAGACTGGGGACACAGGTGATGTAGAAGAGACATGAAGAAGAGGGGACACATGTTGATGTAGAAGAGACATGAAGAAGAGGGGACACATGTGATGTAGAAGAGACATGAAGAAGAGGGGACAATGTTGATGTAGAAGAGACATGAAGAAGAGGGGGACCAACATGTTGATGTAGAAGAGACATGAAGAAGAGGGGACACATGTGATGTAGAAGAGACATGAAGAAGAGGGGACAATGTTGATGTAGAAGAGAATGAAGAAGAGGGGACACATGTTGATGAAGAAGAGACATGAAGAAGAGGGGACACATGTTGATGTGAAGAGAGACATGAAGAAGAGGGACAATGTTGATGAAGAAGAGGACATGAAGAAGAGGGGACACATGTTGATGTAGAAGAGACATGAAGAAGAGGGGAACATTGTTGATGAAGAAGAGACATGAAGAAGAGGGGACACATGTTGATGTAGAAGAGACATGAAGAAGAGGGAGACACATGTTGATAGAAGAAGAGACATGAGAAGAGGGGACACATGTTGATGAAGAAGAGACATGAAGAAGAGGGGGACCACTATGTGATGTAGAAGAGACATGTAAGAAGAGGGGGACACATGTTGATGAATAAGAGACATGAAGAAGGGGGACACATGTGATGGAGAACGAGGAACATTGAAGCAGAGGGAGACACACTGTTTGATGTAGAAGAGACATGACGAAGAGGGGACACATGTGATTGTAGAAGAGACATGAAGAAGAGGGGACACATGTTGATGAAGAAGAGACATGAAGAAGAGGGGACATGTTGATGTAGAAGAGACATGAAGAAGAGGGGACACATGTTGATGTAGAAGAGACATGAAGAAGAGGGGACACATGGTGATGTAGAAGAGACATGAAGAAGAGGGGACACATGGTGATGTAGAAGAGACATGAAGAAGAGGGGACACATGGTGATGTAGAAGAGACATGAAGAAGAGGGACACATGGTGATGTAGAAGAGACATGAAGAAGAGGGGACACTGTGATGTAGAGACATGAAGAAAGGGGACACATGGTGATGTAAGAGACATGAAGAAGAGGGGACACATGTTGATGTAGAAGACATGAAGAAGAGGGGACACATGTTGATGTAGAAGAGACATGAAGAAGAGGGGACACATTTGATGAAGAAGAGACATGAAGAAGAGGGGACACATGTTGAGTAGAAGAGACATGAAGAAGAGGGGACACATGTTGATGTAGAAGAGACATGAAGAAGAGGGGACACATGGTGATGTAGAAGAGACATGAAGAAGAGGGACACATGGTGATGTAGAAGAGACATGAAGAAGAGGGGACACATGTTGATGTAGAAGAGACATGAGAGAGGGGACACATGTGATGTAGAAGAGACATGAAGAAGGGGACACTGTTGATGTAGAAGAGACATGAAGAAGAGGGGACACATTGTGATGTGAAGAGACATGAAGAAGAGGGACACATGTTGATGTGAAGAGACATGAAGAAGAGGGGACACACTGTTGATTAAGAAGAGACATGAAGAAGAGGGGACACATGTTGATGTAGAAGACATAGAGAGGGGACACATGGTGATGTGAAAGACTGAAGAAGAGTGGGACACATGTTGATGTAGAAGAGACATGAAGAGAGGGGACACATGTTGATGTAGAAGAGACATGAGAAAGGGGACCATGTTGATGTAGAGAGACATGAAGAAGAGGGGACCCATGTTGATGTAGAAGAGACATGAAGAAGAGGGGACACATGTGATTGTAGAAGAGACATGAAGAAGAGGGGGACACATGTTGATGTAGAAGAGACATGAGAAGAGGGGACACATGTTGATGTAGAGAGACATGAAGAAGAGGGACACATGTTGATGTAGAAGAGACATGAAGAAGAGGGGACACATGTTGATGTAGAAGAGACATGAAGAAGAGGGGACACATGTTGATGTAGAAGAGACATGAAGAAGAGGGGACACATGGTGATGTAGAAGAGACATGAAGAAGAGGGGACACATGTTGATGTAGAAAGACATGAAGAAGAGGGGACACATGGTGATGTGAAGAGACAAGAATGAAGGGGGACACATGTGATGTAGAAGAGACATGAAGAAGAGGGACACATGTTGATGTAGAAGAGACATGAAGAAGAGGGGACACATGTGATGTAGAAGAGACATGAAGAAGAGGGGACACATGTTGATGTAGAAGAGACATGAAGAAGAGGGGACACATGTTGATGTAGAAGAGACATGAAGAAGAGGGGACACATGTTGATGTAGAAGAGACATGAAGAAGAGGGGACACATGTTGATTAAGAAAGAGACATGAAGAAGCGGGGAAGGGACACATGTTGATGTAGAAGCGACATGAAGAAGAGGGGACACATGTTGATGTAGGAAGAGACATTGACGAAGAGTGGTGGACACATGTTGATGTAGAAGAGACATGAAGGAAGAGGGGACCACATGGGTGATGTAGAAGAGACCTGAAGAAGAGGGGACACATGTTGATGTAGAAGAAGGACATGAAGAAGAGGGAGGACCCATGGTGATGTAGAAGAGTACGATGAAAGAAAGCGGGGACACATGTTGATGTAGACAGAGACATGAAGAAGAGGGGCACACATGTTGATGTAGAAGAGACATGAAGAAGACGGGGACACATGTTGATGTTAGACGAGGAACATGAAGAAGAGGGGACACATGTTGATGAAGAAGAGACATGAAGAAGAGGGGACACATGTTTGATGTAGAAGAGACATGAAGAAGACGGGGACACATGTTTGATTGTAGAAGAGACATGAAGAAGAGGGGACACATGTTGATGTAGAAGAGACATGAAGAAGAGGGGACACATGTTGATGTAGAAGAGACATGAAGAAGAGGGGACACATGTTGATGTAGAAGAGACATGAAGAAGAGGGGGACACATGTGATGTAGAAGAGACATGAAGAAGAGGGGACACATGTTTGATGTAGAAGAGACATGAAGAAGAGGGGCACATGTTGATGTAGAAGGAGACATGAAGAAGAGGGGACACATGTTGATGTAGAAGAGACATGAAGAAGGGGGAGGGGACACATGGTGATGTAGAAGAGACATGAAGGAAGAGGGGACACATGTTGATGTAAGAAGAGACATGAAGAAGAGGGGACACATGTTGATGTAGAAGAGACATGAAGAAGAGGGGGACACATGTTGATGAGGAAGTGGATTTTGAGAATAGGTTAACTGTAATGGCTCTTTGTTCTGCTGTAACAATGTGGGACTAATAAAGGTATTCTCTTTGGTCCTGAAAGCTGTCCTCGGTGCGCTCTGACCCGGCGGAGCACCTCAGATCCACCATCGAGCACGCCAAGGCGGCCAATCGGATGACAGAAGAGCTCCAGTGGAGGGAGGGCAGCCAATCGGTGCCTCAGAGCGACTCGGCAGCAGACAGTCCGCCGACGACCGGCTGGCCAAGAAGCTCCAGCAGCTGGTGACGGAGAACCCCGGGAAGTCCATCTCTGTGTTCATCAACCCGGACGACGTGACCCGGGCCGCACTATCAGGATCGATGACAAGTTCTTCTGAGGAGACTGCTTTTCCTCCTCTTCTTCCTCTTCTTCCTCTTCTTCCTCCTCCTCTTCCTCCTCCTCCTCTTCCTCATAGTTTATGTTCCTCTGCCACAGAGTGACGTGAGGTGATCGTCTCGTTGTGTTTCACAGTTTTTTATTTTTCTACCCCTCACTTTGTGCCCTGTGTTTTTTACCTTTAGCTCGATGCCTTCTCGACAAACAGCTGATTAGCAGCAGGTCGTTTAAAAAAGAGGGACGAGGAAAACGTCCATCTTTAAATACGAAGCGCAGAGTTTAATTATCAGGGATCTCCGGGAGCGAGACGGCACCTGAACCTCCTGTGGGGACTCACTAAGAACATCCCAAACATATAAAAATGTGATGTCTTAATTATAACTAATTATTTATTATTATTATTATGAATGACTTTTTTGAGAGTGTTTTCACAATAATTAATGACATCGCAATTCATTTTCGGTCCTTATTCCTCTAAATTAAAAGATCTCCAATTAATATTGAGATATTACATTTGAATTATGAGATTCAAATCAAAGATGAGACAGAAATGTGAGATTAAAACAATTAAAACAAACTTAAAGGTGGGGTAGGTAAGTTTGAGAAACCGGCTCGAGATACACTTTTTGTTATATTCCATGGAATGCTCTTAACATCCAGATAGCAATGAATTATGGAAGCCTTAGTACTGTAAAAGGTAGGGCTGTGCAATTAATCGTATATTAATCTCGATTACGATTTTGGCTTGCAACGATTACGAAAACAACGTAATCAAATAAAACGATTATTATTTTTATTAAAAAAAAAAAAAATGTAATTATTTTTTTTAATGGTTTTTCAGTTGAATTATACTTAAAGTTCAGGGTAATCAACTGTTCAAAACATACTGTTCAAAACATTTTTTTCAATAAATAGATGTTTTCAAAGTAAATGAATAATCGTTTGTAATAATCGTGATATCAATTATTGACCCAAATAATTGTGATTATGATTTTGCCATAATCGCACAGCCCTAGTAAAAAGCACGACCAATCATTTTAGCCGGCCCGGCTAAAATAACTGGATGGCCTACCTGCCTGTCAGCCTTCCATCTGTGCACAAACTTATCTCGTGCCCTCATTGGTCATGTGCGCGTTCGTGTGTGTTGGAGGAGGGGCTCTGTGAGGAAGTGGCAGATTTTCTCCGGCTGTGTATTTTCAAATTCTAGCGATCTCGAGCCGGTTTCTCAAACTTACCTACCCCACCTTTAAAGTGTGTTTTACGAGATAAAAGCAGATTTTTCTTTGTTTTTGCCTCATATCTCAAGTTAAGAACGCTTAATTGAACTCTTCGGCAGGTGATTTGTTCCCTGATTTCGCAGCGAGCGTGCAGCAGCAACACGATTGTTGAACTTTTAATGTAAAAGATTGTAAAACGCCTAGGAGTTCAGGATGTCTCGTCTCTATCCCGAATCGGCAGCGTTCGTTTAAAGGTGGATTTCGTCCCTCTGAGGAATGTCTTAGTCCTGCCGGGCGACGATGGTACTAACGTCTTAGAAGACTAACTGTAAATAGAAGAAACGTGTAGACGGAGATAATAATGTGGACTACTTGTATGTCTAATTTTGCACAGAATGTAAAAATCAACACTGATTGCTCGTGATGCTGGGACACCGCTGATGGTCCTACTGGTGTTTTTAAACTGGAGGAAAACCACCAAGTACACAGGGATACTCAGTCTGCTTCAAACATGCAGATTGAGACGTTCGTCTGCAAACACACTACAACTGAGTATTAAGGCCGTAAAATAAAAACATTTACGGTTGAAAAAAGGGGTCATATTGCATAAAAAAACACCTTGAATAAAGTCATAAATGAATGAAAATGACTTTAGTGTAATTTGATGATTCTGGCCTAAAATCACGAGCCATTTTCTTATTTGTTATTGTAATAAGGAGAGAAGGTTTAAGAGTATTCCCTTTCAGACATTTTAAAGTTGATTTTGTTTATTTATTAGACAAATGTTGTTTGGATGACGGTGGCTTGTTGGAAACACATCGATCGTCAAGAATAACCCAACCAAAGCAAGACATAAATAGACGACTGCCTCCACTATCATGTATAGATTACTGCTGCTACCAGTTACAGTTATTTTAAAGAAGAAACAACGTTTAATGAGTGTTTGGACATGTACTGGTACCATTGGTCCTAATGGTCGACGTAGGCTAGCGTCCTCGTCCCAAAAACTGCCCCGTGATTCAGATTCCCTCCAAAATGCAAAGGTTTTGTAATTCCCAAACGTTCAACCCTTCCACCACGTGTGCAGTGTGTGCATTTCATCAGATACATGACACAAGACCAGAAATCAGAAAGTAAATTCATTAAAATAATAGTATCAAGAAGTGAAGATCCCCGCTGTTAGCTAGCAAGCAACGTTATTGTTTGTGGAACCAAATCCTTAAATTTAAATCCTATTAAAATGAACAATGGCTTCTTTCCGACACCAGTGTAGTGGTACATCAATTAAATACTGGAAAACAAATCACCTTTATCAACGTTAATGCACTGGATTCGATGTAGAAAGAGAACAATAGAGGCCTCAGTATTGAACCCTGTGGAACTCCACTCAGATTTACGATTTTTAAAAGCTAAATAAATGCTAATTTTCATAAAGCTAAAATGTAAATGCTGAGTTTAACAGCTGGTATGGCTAGATATGTCTTAGTTTGATAGAAGGGAAACACATTTTCTAGTGCATCGGGTTCAATATTACCTCATAAACGCAGCTTTAGCCCCAAATCACGATATAGATGCTGAAGCTGTAATCAAGGTGCTTCTCCCTCTGTATTTAACGGGTTAGGGTTACCCTAACCCTATCGCTGTGTACTTACTGTGTATTTTCTCTACAGTTTAATCTGCTTTATGACCATTATCATGTAAAGTGTCCCAGAAAATATTCCTTCAGACACGATGTCACTGATATTTCACTTCCTGTCACCTTCCTATTTGATAAGCTTCACTGTGTCTGTACGACCTCATGTGTTTTAATAATGTTTTCTCTTCTGCTGTTTTATTTCTGTTGTTAGTGTTTGAGGGTCCGACTCTCCTTCAACACAATCAGAGCTCAATCTTAGAGCTAAAAACATCACTGGAATGCCTCTGATATACGTGTTTTGGATAAAGTTGGATAAACACATATTGTGGTAATAATAGTTAGTTTCTCCCCTTAAAAAGTGTTAATACTTAGTAAAAGTTCATTCAAAAGCTTTAAAGCAGTTGCTAGCTGCCAGACAACACACAATTAGACAATATAGAAGAGCCCTAGAGCGGGCGATATATCTACAACGTGGCTTTGATTGACTCTAAGCATCATGGGAGTTGTAGTCTGTGTGGAGCTGGTTGATTTGAAGGCGAGTCGGTCCAAGTTTTTATGTTTTTTCGTTGTTTTCCGACAAACATTTCCAGAAAAAAGCCAAAAAAATAACCTGCAGACAACTGACTAGTAATGTGATCTCCATATCCTCATCCTCAAGTGCAATTAGTGACAACACACACACACACACCATCAAAGTGCCACACACACTCCTGTAATCAGCGTGTTGTTCTCTGAGCTCCATGACCTAATCTTTTAACTGTGAGTTTTTATCATTATTATTATTATTATTATTGTTGTTGTTGATCTGTATCTGCTGCTCTGCTTGGTTCTGATGATGGATTTCTTTATGCAATGTTGACTTGTCTGAGTTAACCCTTCAGATGGCAGCTCCCCCCCCCTCTCCATCCCGTCTAATGAAGATCCTCCACTTTAATTCACTGTACAGTAGAGTCATCATAAAGACTTTTAACCAGAAGATCTCCGTCTCTTGGGTTTTTATTCACTTCCTCACTTCCTGTCCCCCGGTCTGGAGGTCAAACACATCCTTATACACATATACAGTAAGAGATAATGTCGTTTGTAGACATTAATGACCTTTGAAACAAGTCTGTCCAATAAGTCATAAATACAAATATAACCTGTCTTGGTCAAATAGATAAATATTAAGGCATAATTAGGTGAACATCACGAGTTTCACAAGTTACTCATTTGGGATCAATAAAGTACTTATCTTAAAGTGATTTGGATTTAAATCATAGCTGCAGGTGTTGTTTCAGCCACGAGGGGGCAGCATGCGTCCACACCAAGCTCAACTCTACATTTATAAAGTGTCTTTATTTGTGTTTCATAAGGATTTATATTTTGTTTATTCTATATATTGAAATGTATTTATTAGGATCAACCCCTTGAGATGCATCATTTCGTTTTCAAGGGGGTCCTGACAAAAGCAATGTTAGACAGACATTCAAAAAAACAGAACAGAAAACAAAATAACAGAAGAAAACAACAAACAAGGACAACCCATGTTCAGTCTGTTCAAATAAACTCATGAAGTAATACAACCATTACAGTGTGATGGACAGGTGTGTGTAATAGATTATAGTGTTGTAGTCAAGACCACCTTAACCGAGACCAAGTCATGACCAAGACTTTAAGGGCGAGACCGAGTCAAGACCAAGACTTTAAGAGGGCAAGACCGAATCAAGACCAAGACTTTGAGAGGGCAAGACCGAATCAATACCAAGACTTTAAGAGGGCGAGACCGAGTCAAGACCAAGACTTTAAGAGGGCGAGACCGAGTCAAGACCAAGACTTTAAGAGGGCGAGACCGAGTCAAGACCAAGACTTTAAGAGGGGCGAGACCGAGTCAAGACCAAGACTTTAAGAGGGCGAGACCGAGTCAAGACCAAGACTTTGAGAGGGCGAGACCGAGTCAAGACCAAGACCAAGACTTTAAGAGGGCGAGACTGAGTCAAGACCAAGACTTTGAGAGGGCGAGACCGAGTCAAGACCAAGACTTTAAGAGGGCAAGACCGAATCAAGACCAAGACTTTAAGAGGGCGAGACCGAGTCAAGACCAAGGCTTTAAGAGGGCGAGACCGAGTCAAGACCAAGACCAAGATTTTAAGAGGGCGAGACCGAGTCAAGACCAAGACCAAGACTTTAAGAGAGCGAGACCGAATCAAGACCAAGACTTTAAGAGGGCGAGACCGAGTCAAGACCAAGACTTTAAGAGGGCGAGACCGAGTCAAGACCAAGACTTTGAGAGGGCGAGACCGAGTCAAGACCAAGACCAAGACTTTAAGAGGGCGAGACCGAATCAAGACCAAGACTTTAATGGCGCATTTCCACCGCAGGCCTCGCTCGACTTAGTACGGTTTTGTTAGGCCTTGTTAGGCCCAGCTCACTTTAATGATGCGCTTCCATTACAGTTTAGTAGCTGGGGTAGTATCTATAGTAACGCAGTGTAGGCGGAGCCGTGACGTCATCTTCAATGAGAACCCCAGAAAAACAACACAGCCGTTAGCTGTTAGCACTCAGAGCTCACAGCTCCTCATATCTGTTCAGAAACTAGACAAAAGTTAAACAAGTACAAACCACAGACTGTCTGTGTCATGGAGAATACAGTCGCTGGTTTATTTATGTCTGTATAGGCCGTTGTTCTGTGTGGACGGTCGGAGCATATACAACGTTAGCTTAGCCGATCTCCATTTAGACAACGCACATTTTAAAAGGTTTTTCGCCTGCCGTCTGTCTGCAGACTTGTCAAAGCATTAATTCATGGTTTTTACTAACCGGTATCAGTATGTTGTTACTTCGGCATCATTTTGAAACGTGTATTACAATTAAATCACGGTCAAATATGTTCATCTTGTTGTAGTTGTAGCCTCCTTGCCAGCGATTCTCTCTCTAGTTTAGCATACT